GAGAGAGAGAGAGAGAGAGAGAGAGAGAGAGAGAGAGAGAGATTTATAGCATGTTGGGTGCCTTTGGCTTGTTTCCTCTCACAGTGTAGGTATTTCAATAACATTCACAATATATACAGTAATATGTAAGAGTATTCACCATTTATTCATTCTTAATGGGCATTTCTTTGTGATCAGCTGCATCCCCACCTTCCTGTATTTGAAAATGGTATCCTGCAACTACTGGAAGCATTGTGCTAACTGTAGACCTATTGAATTCTCTATTATTAGGAACGATTATATATTTCCCTGCTTAATAGTTTAAGAGATATATTGAAATCACCCACTGAGAACTTGTTTATTTTTCTTTAATTAATTTCTTTTCTCTATCACTTTTTGTTATACTTTTTGATGCTACAATCACCCACTGAGAACTTGTTTATTTTTCTTTAATTAATTTCTTTTCTCCATCACTTTTTGTTACACTTTTTGTTATATCTGGGCATGTGGTTATGGACTCCTGAACATAATTCTAAATTATGCACAGAATTCTTTGTCATTTACAATATCTTTCTACTTTTAGTCACATCTTTTGCCTTAGTGATTCCTTTGGATGATAAATCTAAATAAACTCAATTCCTTTTGATTAATGCTCACATAGCACAACTTTTCTACCCTCTTAATTTCAACTCTTTATAATTCTTATATAGCATTTGTTGTCTCTGGGAACCTGTTGTTGAGTGGCTTCTCTTTATTTATTTATTTTTTAAGATTTTTTTAAAATTTAGTATGTATACAGTGTTCTGCTTGCATGTATGCCTGCACTGTGTGCCAGATGAGGGAACTGGAACGCATTATATAGGTAGTTGTGAGTTACCATGTAGTTCCTGGGAATTGAATTTAGGACCTCTGGAAGCGCATCCAGTGCTTTTAACCTCTGAGGCATCTCTCCAGCTCCCAAGTGGCTTTTCTTTAAATAGACTATTTTCTTAGTTCCAGCATCGTGGTGGATTTACCTGTAAGTCCTTACAAAATGTCCTTTTTCTCTATAAACCATTTGAAGGAACATTTTTATTGACTAGAGTTCTTAAAAGAGGCTTGGTTCAGCACTGTGATGGCTTGGAGGAGGGTTCCAGATGCTAGCTGACTTTATATCTTACATAGACAGCATCTAAATTCAAATTAGGCCACTTCACTAAGGTACCAAAGTTTTGTTGCACACAGTAAAGGATTTCAACTATGAATTGATCACCAAGATATGTCGTGATTCTAGTGCCATCTTCCTAAGATATGTCTTTCCTCCATAGAGATTGAGAGACTAGTGATCATAATTCTAGAACATAGCTTTGTAGTTAGTTTTTCATTTGCATAAAGTTTTAGTATGATATCTTTTTCCTAACTAAGCCAATTTCTTTGTGTACAGTAATATTATGAACAAAGCCTGGAGTTTGTTCCAGGGTTTATATCTATAACCCATGAACCTAAAGGTTCAAATCCTTCTCCTGATTCTCTGGTCACTGTAGGTATGAAAACGGAAATCATGAGGATGGAAGCGGCTCAACAGGATTTCCAGAAAAATCACTTGGACAGGTGAGGGAAATATTTAGGTTTGACTTTGATTCTTTTGTGATGATGGGAACTCATTCATATGCTTTAACAGCTGATTTCTCACTTTTAAGTTGGTGGCAAAGAATGGCTTTCTAATTATAGCAGAAATAATATAAGTAACAAAATAAGGAAATAAGTTGACCGTGAACATAGTAAAAATCATACTTCTTTTTGCTATTCAAAAACAGAGTGCTGACTTGGTCTTATGTTCTGCTAGACTTGTGTTGTGATCTCACAAGCCCATGGTTAGAATAGCTTGAATACATAGAAATTGAATGAAGAAAAAAAAAAGATACACACACACACACACACAACACACACAACACACACAACACACACACACATATATATATGAAGAAGATGGATGTTTCTAGGTATGGTGGAAGAGAAGGTTTATTGTAGATTTGAGAGCACAGGCAGAGACAGACATCTGGAGAGTCCAGAGTGAACATGGCCTTGAGCAGGGCCATGTGAGGAGAAGGGGGAGGAGGGAGGAGTTCCCACCAAAGAGGGGCTGCTTGGGCCAAGAGACTGGCATAGCTAAAATGGTTGAGTTATATAGTGGCTAGAGGAACTTGTGGCAGGCAGCTCAGTCTCTGAGCTAGCGAAGTTTAGAGTAGTGGATGGGGTATGCAGCCAGGAGGACCTTTTTAACAGGTAAAGACTGAGGGATGCCGGGAGAACCTGGTGGGCAGCATCTGCTTTGATGAGCACCTCAGTTAGCCATTTGTCACAGGTTTGAGACCTAACAGGAACATAAAAGAGAAATCTCATGAGTCATTTTGTCTCCTACTCATTGTGCCTGTCCATCTCTGTATGTCTAAAATAAATTACATTGTAAAACCTAAGTGCTGAAGAAGCTAGTTTAGAAGGAAGTGAGTTTAGTGTTTGTCATGTGAAGGAAGGAATTCCATCACTTAATATCAGCAAGATAACCGCCACTGGTATCCTTTATCACAGCACAATTGTGGATGCATAATTAGAGGCTTAGTAGGACTTAGTAACATTAGGGTAAATCTTGAATCTGTCTCTCCTTTTAGAATGCTAGCGAAACTACTACCATGAGTTAGCTGTAGTCCCTTGGATTAGGAGCCTTAGAGTTCACCTGCATTTAGCAACAGATACTTTTCCTTCAAGATCTCTGTCATGTTAAATACTGCTTATTCCTTAGAAGAGCCCAGCACTCATGAGCCTATGGTGGAAGCTAGGTATCCCATACACCAGCCACCATTCAACTGGTTAATAGGTATAAAAAAGTAAAATTATTGGTAGTTGTAGATCTATGGGGTAGACAAGTACCACTCAATGGTTGATGAGCTATTTGTCTGGTTACAAATCTGTTAAGTGCTAAAATTCATAGTAATATAATAGGAATTTCATGCCTGTTTAATATAATCATGTAAAAATTACAGGGCTGGGAAGATAGCTCGGTGTAAAGTGCTGTTTCTGTAAGCATGGGTATCAGAGGTTTGATCCTCTAGAACCTTTGTAAAATATGGGTGTCATAATACATACTTGTAATCCCCATCACTGAGGAGGCAGAGATAGGATTCCTGGTGTTTGATGAAGCTGGTCTAGCCAAATTGGTGAGGTTCTATGTTTAGTTTTGCGCTCTCCCAATAAGGTAGTGAGCAGTTGAGAAAGATACCCAACATCAACTCTGTTCATAGTATACACAAACATACATCTTCACCTCCAAAATTGTTCTGTGTTGCAGAATGTTAGGGACTGTCTATTGGTTCAGAAAGAGTATTGGATTTGCTATTCAGGCTCGAGTTGTGCCTGTGGATGTGCTACTCTTTCGTGTGCCTTAACTTCCTGAACCTGATACACACCAGATTCCTGCTAGGAATAAGAGCACAGGTACTTGTGGAACTGCAATTTAGCACATCCGGAAAGCATTTCCAGTGAAACTTATGGTGCCTATAGTTTTGTGCCTGTGGTGACTTAGCAGATAGAGGAATTTAATTTTAACTTTGTTTCTTCCTTCATGTGATGTTGGGAGATAAAGAAGTTCTAGAAAACATACTAGAGCAGGGGCCTGGGGAGATTGATGGCTTAGAGGTTAAGAATGCTTTCTACTCTTCCAGAGGACCCAAGTTCAGTTTCTGACCCTCACACTGGGCAGATCACAACCACCAGTAATTCCAGCTACCATAGGATCCAACATCCTGTTCCACAGGAACTCACACAAATGTGACTAGACATATCTACATATACATAAATACAAAAACAAACCTTAAAATGAAAAAAGAAAACTCTTAAGTCAGCTAAGAAGTGCTTAGGTCATGACCACTAACTTTCAAGTCACTTGGATCTGTTTCTCAAGTCTAAATGTCATAAAGAAGAAGCACTTTGCCAATGAATATAATTAATAAAAGGACTAATTTCATTGTTTCAACATGACCACACTAAGAAAGGCACTTAAATTCCTGTTCTTCCCAATTTGTAGGAACCAGCGCGGCGAGCTTCAAGAGCTAGCTTCTCTGATGACTCTGGTTGGTATTGGTTGGTTTCTGTTCTGGGACTGTCAGCATCAGATCACTATGACAGTGGCAAGGGTGGGATCATGGGTATATAGGCATGAAATTCCTGGTCTCTCAAGTTTTTAAGAGCCTGGTTCTATTTAACATGCCAAACCAAAGCAGATTGATAGCTGGGTAATTTCTTCCCTAGTGCTTGCTTTTTTAAGTTGTCCATTTAATCTTGAGTTGTCTGGTGGGATGTGTTAACATCACTGGTTATTCAAAGCTAATATGTTTTATCTGGATGGAAACAACATAAGGCAAATGTAGCTGGGTGTTGGTGGCTTGTGACTTTAGTCCCAGCACTCGGGAGGCAGAGGCAGGTGGATCTCTGTGAGTTCCAGGACAGCCTCCAAAGCAATACAGAGAAACCCTGTCTGGGGGGTGGGGGGGGTGGGGCACGGACGGACGACACGACACGAGGATGGATGACAAGTGTAAGGAGTTAAGTAATTTGTGGACTAAATGAAAAGCTAGGTTAGGTAATCTAAAATTAGGTACCCAATTCCAAAAATGTTAGTTATTGAGAAAATGTTGAACTTCTGTTTCTTATTTCATATTTATTGCCAAGATGGGAAAGGTCAAGATGCCAAATCTTCAAAAACCACTGCTTCAAGAAGATCTTCAGTGCATGACAAGAAGTTCCTTGGAGACAGTTCTGCCTCAGATGGCTCAAAGGACAGTGTTACCCAAGATCTATCCAATACCTGTTCTTCAGGGCATGTAGAACAGCACAGTGGCAGAAACCTAGGAGAGTCCACTTCTAGTGATCTTTTTAAGAAGTCCAGGGCTACAGGGAGCAGTTATAGGGAACTGAAGTCTTCTCCTGCACATAGCCTTAGCAACAGCAAGAAAAATGAATCTCCCTTTGAGAAACTTTATCAGTCAATGAAGGAAGAGTTGGATATAAAATCACAAAAGCCATCTCGTAGGAAGTCAGAACCACAACCTGAATGTGCAGCAGAAAAAGAAATGTGGGAGACAAAGCTGTTGGTGTCATGCAAGTCCAGAGCAAAATCCAGCGGAAGCACCCCTGAGACTGCACCCTCTTCACCCAAGGTAGGAAAGGTCTGGACTGAGAACCAGAACAGTGCTGTGAGGCCTCTTCAGACTTCCACAGAGGCTCTGAGTTCCAGCTTCTCTCTTGCTGAGACAGCTAAAACGAAGACCCCTGTACGGACTTCACAGCAACTTGAAGACTTCCATGTTAGTAGCAGAAGAGAGTCTGTGAATCTGGATGAAAGTGAAGGTGCCAAGGCAGTCCATAAGATAGTCACTCCCAGGAAGTCGGGAACTAGAAACCAAACTCCAGTGAAAGTTGAATATGCTGCCAGCCCTGCTGATACACCAGAAAATCTCTTTTCCAAAAAGAGGAGGAGTATTCCTGCAAAGGTAGAAGTGCTGTCTGCAGAAACACAAAACCGGTCCTCTTCAATTCAGCACCTTGCTCCAGGTGAAAAGAAAACTCCAAAGGAGGCTTTCAGCAAGCCTGAGAAATTAGCCACAGCAGCTGAGCAAATTTGCTCTGGGCTACCTGGTCTTAGTTCCGTTGATATCAGCAACTTTGGTGACTCCATTAGTAAGTTGTTTAACTGTAGATCTACTTTCCCTAATAGATTAATATCTACCCTATGTGTTCATTCCGTGTATGGGTACTGAAGATTTTGCTTTTTATAAGGAGGAAAAACAGAGGAGGTGTAGCTAGTTTAGGGGGAAACTACTTCAGGAAAAAATGTGATTTTCTTTTACAAAGTAAGGGGTATAATCTTAATGGCTTTTCATTTAACTCCTGGTTCTGAATACCAGTTGTATTTTGTGAGGTTGGTCCTTGGGAATAAACTACGGGCAGTCCTTTGAACATCATTGAACATACAGTGGCCTTTGGGTGTTCCACACTGTTCTCAGTTGCTTATAAGCACTTTTTAATAGACACTGGAATGGACCCAGGTTTCTATACCAGCAAACTTCTATGTGCTTCCAAGATATTAACATTTTGTTTTTAATTTTTTATTACATTTACTAATTTGTGTATATGGATGAAAGGGAGTGTAAGCTTGTGCCATGGTCCTTGTGCAGGAGTCTGAGGACAACTTGTAAGGAGTCAGTTCTATCCTTCTACCATAGGCCATATTGGACTCAGGGATTGAGTCCAGGTCCTTAAGCTTGGCAACAAAGCACCCTTACCTGCTGAGCCATTTCACCACCTAGAGAAAGCTTTCCTCTTTATCTCTGTTACAAACAGGAACTGACAACCCAAGGCTTCCTACATACACGTTTCATGCTGGCTTACAGAAATCAAAGCTCTCCAGGCTCCAATGCAACAATGTATCAGACATAGTTTCTGCTGATGGCCATTGATGTGTCTTTCCCTTGGTAACCTTGTACTCATCAGCTGGTATTCCATTGAACTTTATAATGGAGTGTATGTCCTGGACAAGGGTTTATGTAGACTGTTCACGAAGTTGTATGATGGGGTTTGGGTGGCATGCACTGCCCACAGGCACTACCTAGACATTTTTATCTGCAATATAGTTTACTCATAAGGCAGGTCTGGGTCTGGCCCAAGTATGTGTGTCAATTTAATAAGTTTCCTCAGACCATTGTTCAGGTTCTGACTTCTCTGGTAGAAGGTGATACCTGCTGCAGATAACTTTCTTAAGCTATTTCACATGCAATTTTCAGTTTTAAGGAGAATCCTAGTTCTATCCAGTTGAAGTACAATACCTCTGGTTTCTCCTGAGATCTCTTAGGAAGTCCTGAGGCTGTTCGTCCTTCATTGGTTTTATGAATGAAGGTGCCATGTTTCAATGCCTTCTCGATGCCTTACTTTCTAATGCTAGTTTGAATTAAATCCTAAGTCCTGGCACAGCATTTATATTGTTCTTTTCATGTTTGCATTCCTTACTTCAGATAAGAGTGAGGGAATGTCTTTGAAGAGAAGACGTGTATCTTTTGGTGGTCGTCTAAGACCTGAATTGTTTGATGAAAACTTACCTCCTAATACACCACTCAAAAGAGGAGAAACACCAATCAAGAGGAAGTCACTTGCCCCTCACACTCCAGCTGTCCTGAAGAAAATCATCAAGGTAAGCTGGACAGTTGGCATTGTGTTTATATCTCATAGCTCACAGATGGTCCACATTCTACCCAAAACCCAGGCAGAGGCAGAATGGCAATAGAGACCTTATTATTTACCCCTTACCTCATGCCCAGAAACAACCATATGGGCTCTCAGGTGTTTCTGTGAAGTGAGGTGGTACCCTAGGGCACACCAACACCATTTAAAAGAATCTGAAGATAGCAGCATGTGTGATCACAAAGATTGTTTTCTTCTGGAAGTATAGGGGCATTGAGGTTGCAAGAAGGATAATCTTTGGTAAAATATCTATTTTCTGAACATGCAGTCCTTAGACCTTTGGCCTTCTGTCACCACTGTTTTGTTGCTTTTTCTTGGTGTGGCTGTATAGCTCAATTTCCTAAAAGGGCCTGGGACAGCTTTATTCTGTTAGTACAAAAAGGACTGGTTTTTCGTCCCTTCCCCCCAGCCCGTTCCTACCTTGTCTCAACTCCTCGAAGTGAGCAGGCCCTTCCATGCCGACCCTAGGGATGGTGTTGGTTGTGCTGAAGTCAGAGTGTCTTGTTTTACTGAGCAATGACCCCATTTTGTTTCACCAGAAATACCTCAGTTCAGACTTCACTCATGCATATGTCCCCTTCATCTGCTTAAATGATGGAACAGCTAACTGACTCCTTTCTTATCCTAGAAAGACAGGGCTTAAAAGCTACATGGTTTGTTGTAAAGGCTTTTAATAGATACTACAAAGATATTACCTCTTTAATCGGGTTTCTCATAAATAACAACTCTACCTTGTCAGGAACGGCCTCAGTCGCCAGGGAAACTAGAGTCTCCTGGAGTAACTCCACCAACGGCAAACGATGAAAGACGAAGATCAGGCAGGATCTTGCCTGCTTCCGATGGCAGCAAATCCTTACATCAGACAGACACTCCCAAGAAAGCAGGCAGGAAGAGTGGCAACCTGCCTGCCAAGAGAGCATCCATCAGCAGAAGTCAGCATGACATTTTACAGATGATTTGCTCCAAAAGAAGGAGTGGTGCTTCTGAAGCCAATTTGATTGGTTAGTGGTGTCCTGGGCAAAATATTTCAAGCTTAATTTTCTCATGCTGAGTTTTGAAAAGTTTCACTATCTTTTCCTTTTGACAGTTGCAAAATCATGGGCAGATGTTGTAAAACTCGGTGCAAAACAAACACAGACAAAAGTTGTAAAACATGTTCCTCAAAAGCAGACGAGCAAAAGACAAAGAAGACCTAATACTCCAAAGGTATAGTACTCCAGTCATGCACTGCTTTTAATCTCAATTGTCTTAAGTATGTATTGCTCATGCTGTGATATTTTGTCTGTCTTTCTTTTGTCTATAGAAACCTACAAGCAACCTTCATAATCAGTTTAGCACAGGCCATGCAAACTCTCCCTGTACCATTGTTATAGGGAGAGCTCAGATTGAAAAAGTAAGCATGCCTGCTCGGCCCTACAAAATGCTGAACAACTTGATGTTAAACCGGAAAATGGACTTCAATGAAGATCTGTCAGGTAAATGCAGCCTGAACACCTGTAGTCACAGCCTTCTTGGTCCTTCTGTTCGTGACTTCCTTGGTGTTTGTTAGTTCTACCCTACCCCACCCCTTACAACCAACCACCTTAGAACCCCAGGTGGGAGCTCAGTGGCAGTGAGTGTAACAAACAATCGAACCAGCTTTCTGGTGTTTTAATATTCAGAGAAGAAGTTGGTTGGAAGTAGAGGACAGGTCTCTATCAATTCGGGGGATTTGTGTTCTACAGGAATCAGTGATGGAAATCTTAAGTGCTACCCTCTGGAGAGCCGAATGTGTACAGAAAATGGATAGTTGCTTTGTGGAGTGAGGGCAAAGGGCTCTAACTTTGGAGGAGTTGCACTGATGGCTGATTCCAGGGAATCTGTTGGTTTAGAGCAATATTAATGCTTCTTCAGGATTCATTTTCTTTCTAGAGAGCTTAACTGCTTGCTGAAATGGAGCCATAAAAGAACATTCTTTTGAGCCACTGATAATTGAACTGTTTCCAATCTTTTTTGAGTATCAGCGAAAGTGTGACTGGCTGTTTAGACTTACTCTCAAGAAAACAGATTTGTGTCATGTTCTTCAATATGTAATACTTTCTAGTAGTATAATTTGAAAGAGAATTAAGATTTGAACTGAATAGGTAGAATCTTATTTTTATTTCTTGCAGATTAGGAACTGAAAATGACCAAACACCTCAATGTATAATGTTTGTGAATAACCCCTTAAAAGAGCTGTATTTGGATCAATTCATTTATCTTTATAAAAGTAAAAGACTAAGACTAAAACAAAAAAGTAGATTAGTGCATGTGTGTGGTTATAAGTCATAAGTGTGTGATGAATATATATATTTAAAAAAATCTCTCAAAGATAAATAAGATTTTAAATACATGGTGCCTAAGACAGTGGCTTATCTTAAATGTTCCTTCTTCCTAGACCCATTCTTAGAATTAGACAATTCTCATGCCTTGGTGTAGGCAATTTCCCCTACACTGTCTTTTTTTTCTTGGGACAGAGTTCTAACTATCCAGGCTTGCTTTAAACCCACAGAAATCTGCCTGCTCCTACCTTCTTAGGGCTGCCATGCCTGTCTTGGCAGCATCCATATTAAAATAACAAAGTAAACCCTTGTAACTATTTCAAGTAAGACTCAGAAGGCTATGGGATTTGCTGAATGGACTAGTGTGGATGGGCACTTCAGTGATTCCCAGACCCATCCATTCTGCAGTGAGTACCAGCTCAACTTCTCATTCTGTGGTGTCCAAAAGACAGGAGCATGGCACACAAGCTTTTCAGGAAGCTTCAATCTTTTATATGGAGTTATGTCACTACTGCCTTTTGGTTTTAAAGTGAATGTGGATGGCACTTAGATTATAATGTGTGTGTGTGTTCTTTCTTACTTGATAGCACTGAAAATGGTCAATGCTCTGTCAATATTCTACATTGTGGGCACACATTATTTGTACATAGGATTTAGATCCTGAGAAACCTAGGATTTCTTGAGCACAGAACAAGGCCCTTAGGTTGTGGATTCCTGGCAGATGTCCCCTGAGAACAGGTGCCCATGTCCAGCTTTTGTCCTTGTGTCAGGACTTACTTGTGGGAACTAATGTAGAAGACTACTGAGGTCAACCAAATCACTTGCTTTGCTCTCCTTTTCCAGAGGAGAGGATTAGAGAAATGATATATTTAGCTTCTCATCCGCCCCCCAACCCATCCATTTTTAAATAAGCATGTTAACAAAATCACCATTTTAATGAGATGATGCAGACCTAGAATCTGAGAGTTTCTCTGTCATATAGCTTGTCCTGTGTGGGAAATGGGATAATGTAAGCCATGTTTCCAATATTTTCCTTTATCAGGACTAACTGAAATGTTCAAGACTCCAGTGAAGGAGAATCAGCAGCAGATGAATGACAAGGCCTCCATTCTTTCAAATTCGGGGAATTTGCCCGAAAAACAGTTTGAAGTAACTAATTCAGAAAACAAACCTCTGCCTAGCACCTCAGAGATTTTAGGTTGGTGTATTTCTCTATTCCACTGTTATATTTTGAATGGGGACTTAAAGATGGCTTTTTTCTTTATGGACAATATTGTATTCCTCTGTACAATAGCTTGCCCTGGTGAAATGCCATTCCTCTAGCAGGCTTTGCAGTTTTGCTGACATTGGTCATTAACCTAGTTTGGAAGGAAGAACTATTCACTCAGTTAATAAGTTTAAATGATGTCTATATATGCTTTTAACATCTTTGTTATAAGAGAATGGAAGCACAAACAATACACTTGGCCTGTCATATATAAATTACACATATTAAGAATTATTGCAAGGATAGAAATGCAACTCACTTGGTAGAGTGCTATATTGCAAAAACTTGGTGTGGTGATGCCTGCCTATAATCCCAATCTTTGGAATCAGAAGGTCATTGCTGATTACATATAGAGTTTGATAATGGGCCCTAAACATACACAGTAGAACCTGTTACTTCATTAGTGAATCGAGATAATAAATAACTGTTTTTGATGTTTCAGAGTAAAAATTGCCTGTCTTCAGGTCCTTGTCACATGTCATGGCAGCCTTTAAAAGATGCTTCTTAAGGACCTGCTCTATCATCAAATAACTTGAGATCATGTAGTAGCTTATTATAAGAAACTAAATTATTGATTCTTATACACCTCCTAAAGATAAAATACTAAGTTGACGACCTTAGATGGTAAAAATGTTTATTGTATAAATATATTTTGTTACCTATAGGAGAAAATGTGCTCTCCAGTACTCAGAATGCAGCAAAGGAACCATCTAATAAATATTTTGCAAGTCCTACCTTAAGGCGGAGGAGCATCAAAAATGGAAACACAGTACAAACTCCTAAGAATGACCATGACATTGCTCATGTAGAAAAGAAGACTCCAGGTTCTGTGACAGAGCCTCTGAAGACAGTTTCCAGTGTGAACAAGTTAAGAAGGTCTAGAGAGCTTAGACATACACTTGTAGAAAGTATGAATGAAAACACAGAAGCAGGCCTTGCCAAGGGCATCACAGGAAGACACTTAAGGAAGACATCACTGCAAGGACAAGAAGTAGATCAACAGATGCAGGACAGTGAAAACACTTCACAAAGATTCAAGGAAATTATTGAATTAAAAGAAGTTACAGAAAAAACATCAGCTAAGAGATCATGTGCCAGGGAGAAGAAGCCAACAAAAGACTCAATGGGAAGTCAGATGACCACCCAAACAGCAGCCTGTGCTGAGGAACTATTTAATCAAGAAAAGGGAACCATAGAAACACCAGAGGAATCCATGCGCATGCAAAACATACCAATGAGTGATGGTCGAAGAGATGCAAAAGAGAAAGTGGACCTAGTATATGAAACCAAAGTGAAGTGCTGGTCAAGGACCCCTGACAAAAAGGCACAACCTCTAGAAGGCCCAGCTGGTCTCAAGGAGCCTTTTGAAACACCAAGCTGCAGAGAAAAACCCATGGGTGATGATAAAACCAAAGTCTTTTGCAAATCCCCACAACCCACACCAGAGAATACCAAAACAAGCACAAAACCATGGCCCAGCACATCTGGAAGGAGAGTAGACATGAAAGAAGAACACTCTGCACTAAATTTTGTGGACGTGTCAGGAGGAACTAGGTATACCCCCAAAGTTCAAGAGCACAGGGGCATCAAAGCTTTGAAGGAATCTGAAAATCAAATGCTGGACTTGACTGTAACTGGTAGCAAGAAGCCGGTAAGAAAAGTTAAGGAAAAGACGCAACCCCTGGAAAACCTAGATGGCTTCCAGGAACTCTCTCTATCACCAGTCCCTGCTGACAAAATCACAAAAATGCCCAACAAATCTCCATGTGTAGAACGTATCAGAACCCCAGCAAGCAGAAAGAGTCTGTCCAAGACAGGTGTTGGTAAGGTGGAAGTGACAGAAGAGCTTTCAACCTCTGGGAAACGAACAGAGTCACCAGGCAGAGCCACACGCACACCCACAGCACCAGCGCTGGAAGAGAGCGACAGCACAGACATTATGCAAACTCCAAAGCAGAAACTGGTCTTCACAGGGAATTCAACAGGACGCAAGAGAAGGTCACAGGCACCTAAAAATGGGGCTCAACCCCTAGAAGACCTGGATGGCTTCCAAGAACTCTTCCAAACTCCAGTTGGTACCAGGGATCCAGTGACTGTTAGGGAAACTACAAAGTTGTCTTTGGAATCTGCACAAGCAGAACCAGTCAGAACTCCAGCAAGCAGAAAGAGTCTGTCCAAGACAGGTGTTGGTAAGGTGGAAGTGACAGAAGAGCTTTCAACCTCTGGGAAACGAACAAAGTCACCAGGCAGAGCCACACGCACACCCACAGCACCAGCGCTGGAAGAGAGCAATAGCACAGACATTATGGAAACTCCAAAGCAGAAACTGGACTTCACAACAAATTCAACAGGACGCAAGAGTAGGTCACAGGCACCTAAGAACAGGGTTCAATCTCTAGAAGACCTGGATGGCTTCCAAGAACTCTTCCAAACTCCAGTTGGTGCCAGTGATCCAGTGACTGTTAGGAAAACTACAAAGTTGTCTTTGGAATCTGTACAAGCAGAACCAGTCAGAATTCCAGCAAGCAGAAAGAGTCTGTCCAAGACAGATCTCAGGAAAGAGGATTTGAGAGAAGAACTCTCAACTCTTGGGAAACGAACAAAGTCATCAGGCAGAGCCACACACACACCCACAGCACCAGCGCTGGAAGAGAGCGACAGCACAGACATTATGCAAACTCCAAAGCAGAAACTGGTCTTCACAGGGAATTCAACAGGACGCAAGAGAAGGTCACAGGCACCTAAGAACAGGGTTCAATCTCCTAAGGAAAAAGTCCTACCCCTGGAAGACCTTGATGGCTTCCAAGAACTCTTCCAAACTCCAGCTGGTGCCAGTGATCCAGTGACTGTTAGGAAAACTACAAAGTTGTCTTTGGAATCTGCACAAGCAGAACCAGTCAGAACTCCAGCAAGCAGAAAGAGACTGTCTAAGACAGATCTTGGAAAAGTGGATGTGACAGAAGAAGTTTCAACCCTTGGGAAACGAACAAAGTCATCAGGCAGAGCCACACGGACCCCTACAGTGCTGGAAGAGAGCGACAGCACAGACATTATGCAAACTCCAAATCAGAAACTAGTCTTCACAGCAAATTCAACAGGACGCAAGAGAAGGTCACAGGCACCTAAAAATGGGGCTCAACCCCTAGAAGACCTGGATGGCTTCCAAGAACTCTTCCAAACTCCAGTTGGTGCCGGTGATCCAGTGACTGTTAGGGAAACTACAAAGTTGTCTTTGGAATCTGCACAAGCAGAACCAGTCAGAACTCCAGCAAGCAGAAAGAGACTATCTAAGACAGATCCTGGGAAAGTGGATGTGACAGAAGTTTCAACCCTTGGGAAACGAACAAAGTCACCAGGCAGAGCTGCACATACATCCACAGCACCAGTGCAGCAGGAAAAAGGGATAAAAGCAATTATGGAAACTTCAGGTCAGGAATTGAAGTCTGTAGGAAATTTAAGAGGGCCTAAGAAACATCCTAGAACACCTAAGGAAGAGGGCCAATCTCTAGAAGACCTATTTGGTCTCCAAGAGCTCTTCCAAACACCAGACCATGGAAATGGCCTATTGGCTGTTGGCATAACCAAAAAGAAGTCCATCAATGCTCTACAACCAGAAACTGTAATAATCACCCAAAGCCTAAAGAGACAGTCCAGGGCATGTGTGGGTAACATAGAAGTGAAGGAAGAACTTTCAGAATCAGAGAAACATCCACAAATAGAAAAGGCCATAGACACACTTCAAGGGCCTGACAATAACAATGTCCGGGCATCAAAGCAATCTGGAAAGCGGAAACTGGATTCAGAAGCTAGTATGCCTGACAGCAAGAGGCTGCGACGTGCATCTAAGGATAAGACACCACGCCTGGAAGACCTGCATGGTTTTCAACAGCTCTTCCAAACACCAGGCCATGCTAAAGATTCACTGTCTATTGGTGAAACCTCAAAAATCCCCACCAAATCTCCACAGTCAGGACCAGTTAGAAGGCAAAGCAGTAGAAAGAGTCTGCCCAAGATGAGTCTCTGGAAAATGAATGTAACAGAGGACCTTTCAGCACTCTGGAAGCAGTCCCCAGGCAAAGCTCCCACATCACCAGTGCAGCAGGATAATGGGATACAAGCAATTGTGAAGACTCCAAAGGGGAAACTAGAGACTGCAGCAAATGTAACTGGGCTTACAAGACAGCGAAGAGCACCTAAGGAAAAAGTCCTACCCCTGGAAGACCTTGATGGCTTCCAAGAACTCTTCCAAATACCAGACCACAGCACGGATCCAGTAATTGATAACAAAAGAACAAGTGTGTCCTTGAAATCTCCACAACCAGTACTTGTTAGAACCACACAAACCTCAGAGAGACTAGCCAAGACAAGTCTTGGGAAAGTCGGTGTGAGAGAAGAGATCTCACTGAATATGCCAAGGTGTGCTGCAGGGGAGAGTGTACACATACCCAGTCTTCCAGAAGATGATGGCAGAGGGAAGAAGGATCTGAAGAAATCCAGAACTCAGACACTGGGCCCATCAGCAAGTGTAACTCGCAGCAAGAAGCAGCAAGGGTCACATAAGGAAAGATCTCAGTCCCCAGAAGACTTATTTGGTCTCCAGGAGCTCTTCCAAACACCAGCTAGTCAAAAAGATTTAATGACTGTTTGTGAAACTACAAAAATGTCTTTGGAATCTTCAGAACCAGAACATATCAGAACCCCAGCAAGCAGAAAGAGTCTGTCCAAGACAGGTGTTGGTAAGGTGGATGTGAGAAAAGAGCTTTCAACCTCTGGGAAACGAACAGAGTCACCAGGCAGAGCCACACGCACACCCACAGCACCAGCGCTGGAAGAAAGCGACATCACAGACATTATGCAAACTCCAAAGCAGAAACTGGACTTCACAACAAATTCAACAGGACGCAAGAGAAGGTCACAGGCACCTAAAAATGGGGCTCAACCCCTAGAAGACCTGGATGGCTTCCAAGAACTCTTCCAAACTCCAGTTGGTGCCAGTGACCCAGTGAATATTGGGAAAACTGCAAAGGTATCTTTGGAATCTGTACAAGCAGAACCAGTCAGAACTCCAGCAAGCAGAAAGAGACTGTCTAAGACAGATCTTGGAAAAGTGGATGTGACAGAAGAAGTTTCAACCCTTGGGAAACGAACAAAGTCACCAGGCAGAACCACCCGGACCCCTACAGTGCTGGAAGAGAGCGACAGCACAGACATTATGCAAACTCCAAAGCAGAAACTGGACTTCACAGAAAATTCAACAGGACGCAAGAGAAGGTCACAGGCACCTAAGAACAGGGTTCAATCCCTAGAAGATCTGGATGGCTTCCAAGAACTCTTCCAAACTCCAGTTGGTGCCAGTGATCCAGTGACTGTTAGGGAAACTACAGAATTGTCTTTGGAATCTGTACAAGCAGAACCAGTCAGAACTCCAGCAAGCAGAAAGAGACTGTCTAAGACAGGTGTTGGTAAGGTGGAAGTGACAGAAGAGCTTTCAACCCTTGGGAAACGAACAAAGTCACCAGGCAGAGCCATACGCACACCCATAGCACCAGCATTGGAAGAGAGCGACAGCACAGACATTATGCAAACTCCAAAGCAGAAACTGGACTTCACAGGGAATTCAATAGGACGCAAGAGAAGGTCACAGGCACCTAAAAACGGGGCTCAACCCCTAGAAGACCTGGATGGCTTCCAAGAACTCTTCCAAACTCCAGTTGGTGCCAGTGATCCAGTGACTGTTAGGGAAACTACAAAGTTGTCTTTGGAATCTGTACAAGCAGAACCAGTCAGAACTCCAGCAAGCAGAAAGAGACTGTCTAAGACAGATCCTGGGAAAGTGGATGCGACAGAAGAAGTTTCAACCCTTGGGAAACGAACAAAGTCACCAGGCAGAGCCACCTGCACACCCACAGCATCAGCGCTGGAAGAGAGCGACAGCATAGACATTATGGAAACTCCAAAGCAGAAAGTGGACTTTACCAGGAGTTCAAGGAGTAGAAGTTCACAGGCAACTAAGAACAGGGCTCAATCCCTAGAAGACCTGGATGGCTTCCAAGAACTCTTCCAAACTCCAGTTGGTGCCAGTGACCCAGTGAATATTGGGAAAACTGCAAAGGTATCTTTGGAATCTGTACAAGCAGAACCAGTCAGAACTCCAGTAAGCACAAAGAGACTGTCTAAGACAGGTCTTGACAAGGTGGATGCGAGAGAAAAGCACTCTTTGCTAAGTAAGCCAAGATGTTCATCACAGGAAGTCATGCGTGTATCCAGACTTTCAGAAGATGATGGCAGTGGAACCAAAGATTTGAAGGAATCTGCAGCTCAGGCATTGGACCCAGCAATAAGTGTAACTCGCAGCAAGAGGCAGCGAGGGGCATGTAAGAAAAGATCCCAGTCCCCAGAAGACCTGTTTGGTCTCCAGGAGCTCTTCCAAACACCAGGCTATGAGAAGGATTCAGTGGCAGGTGAAAAGCTAACAAAAATGCCCCACAGCTCTCTGCCACCAGAGCCAACAGAAACTTCAATCACCTCACAGAGACAGCCCAGAACTAGACTGATGAAAGTTCATGTGAAAAATGAACTATCAGGAGACAGGATGCTTCCACAAATGTCACAGGAAATAATGGACATATCTAGAGTACCAGAAGGTGAAGACAAAGGCATTAGCACAAGGAAGCAATCTGTAAAGCGGAAATTGGACACAGCTGTCAGTGTGCCCAGCAGCAAGAGGCAACGAGTTGCACGAGCGGAAAAGGCACAGACCCTAGAGGGCCTGCCTGGCTTCCAAGAGCTCTCCCAAACTCCAAGCTCAGCAGTGGACTCAGTGACTGTTGATAAAACCACAAAGATGCTCAGCAAATCTCCAGAGTCCATGGACACAACTTCACAGACACAGCCAGGAAGAAGACTCAGGAGAGTGGGTGTGACCAAAGAGCCTATAGCACAAAGAAAAACTACAAGAGTGTTACGGGGAACCAGAAACACACCCAAAGAGCCTGTGGGTGACAGTAAAGATGTCAAAGAGTTTAAAGATTCTTCACAGAAACAAGGCCCAACTGTAAGTTTAACTGGCAAGAGGAGCCAATCAAGGACACTTAAGGAGAAGACCCAACCCTTAGAGGAGCTACCCAGCATCCAAGAAGAAACAGCCACAAGATACTCTTGTGAATCTCCACAACCAGAAGAAAAGGAAAGCTCGGTAGCCTCAGAGAGGCAGCTCAGAATACGACTGTGCAAAATAGACATGAAAGAAGAGCCCACAACACAGAGAAAACCACCAGGCAGGAAAACCAGGAATACCCCAAAAGAGCCTGTGAGTGATAGTGGAAATGTTGAAGAGCTTAAGGAGTCTACAAAGCAGAAGACTGACCCAGCAGCAAGTGTGCCTGCTAGCAAGAGGCCACGGAGAGTACTCAGGGAAAAGGCACAACCCCTAGAATTGCCTGGTCCCAAGGGACCAGGTCATACTGAGGAATCAGCAAATGATGAAAGACCCACACAGATTCCCTGCAGTTCTCCGCAACCAGAACAGGTAGATAGCCTCCCGATCTCACCAAGACGTCCCAGGACAAGGCGAGGAAAAGTAGAGGTGGATGAAGTGCCTTCATTAGTGAGGAAGGCAGTACCATCATCAAGGCAAACTTCAAGATCTCGCAAGGTCCCTGAAATTGATGACAAAGACATTCAAGCTTCAAAAGAACCTGGAAAGCAGAAATTAGAAACAGTCACCACTGTAACTGCCAGCAGGAGGCAGCTAAGAGGACCTAAGGATGGGGTCCAATCTCTTGAAGTCCTGGGTGAATCCAAAGAAATAACTCAAATGTCAGAGCACACTGAGAAACTAAGACATGACACCAATAGCCTTAAAAGTACTCTCCAGCAAATGCCAGTCCCCATAAAACCTCTGAGAACATCCAGGAGAGTGCTAAGGGCCTCTAAAGAGGACACTACGGAAACAACTTTGGAAATGGTGGTGGATACCAGGGACTCTGCAGAATCGCAAAGCAAAAGCATCACTTTCCTGCCACCCAAGAGGAAGTCTGCAAGAGATGGAAGTATTCCAAGAACCAGGGGGTTGCGCTCTGTGACTCCAAAGCAGGAAGCAACAGATGAGAAACCTGCACCTAAGAAACAGAGGACTGCTTCCAGCAAGAGGCATGTGTCACCTGAGCCTGTGAAGATGAAACAGCTGAGAATCATGTCAAACAAAATTGAACCAGTGGAAGAGCAGATTAGCAACATCACGGAAGAAAAGGAAGCCCAAGTAGAAAACTCAGCCCATCCAGACCAGGTGATGGGGATGGACATAGTGGGTGCTTTTCAGGAAGGATGGGGCCCATTTTGCTGCAGTAATTTGTGTGTAATGGGGTTTATTCACAGATAAATAGTCATTTCCTTACTGTTTCTATTTACCATCATTAATAGCGCTGGCCATTGATCCTTAGGGGATTTGCACAAGGGACAAACTCCTTAAAGTTTTCCTGTCTGCATAAGACCTAATTAAAAGTGGCTGTAGTAGTTCTCAGGGACTGAATGACTTGCATGTATCTTTAGTTTGAAGAATTAACCAGAGAACAGGTGGGCAGTGTAGTTCTGTGTATGTGACAGTATTCAAATAAGAAACACATGTGCTGGGGCTATCAAGTTGGCTCAGCGGCTCTTAGCACTGGCAGCTCTTCCAAAGGACCCTGTGTTCAATTCCTAGCACCCACATGGCAGTTCACAACTGTCTTTAACTCCAGTTCCAATGGATCTGACACCTTCATACCAATGCACATATTTAAATTAAAAAAACAAAAACAAAACACAGGTGCTAAGGTTCATATAACCTTGAGAAGGATTGGAACAGGGAGATCACTATAGCATCCCTCAGATTGCAGGCTCTTGTTTCTTGGTGATCATTAAAGGACCAGGGACTCATTTACTGCCTGTATGGTGGACATTCTTCAATAGTATGAACTGGAATGTTTCGGTATGATTGACATCCTGAATTTATAATTTATCAGGGATGATTATTTTTCCATGGGAACAAAGTGGCTAAGGCATTGTCTTGGATATCTTAGATGACTCTTAGTAAATTAATCAATATAAAATTTTTGGTCCTTTTTCTTTAGTTTTACTTTTTAATTTTTTTTCCTAATGGATCTTGAGCTTTAACTAATTTTGTAGTTGTCTTCTCATTCCCTTAGAAAACGCCTCTGCCCTCCAGATACCGAAAGAAAACCAATGAAAAACAGCCAAGACCCGAGGTTGGTGTATCTGCAGAGAAGGTTGGGATAAAGAAAAATGAGAAGACAGTGAAGACCTCCCAGGAGACAGAGCTGCAGAACACAGATGATGGAGCCAAGAAGTCTACATCTAGGGGCAAAGTCAGTGGGAAAAGAATATGCTTGAGGTCTGGAGGACAGAGTGAAATTCCCCAGCCTCATGCAGCAGAAGAGAAAACAAGTGAGACAGGTGCAGAAATCTTGGTAAAGACTCAGAAAGAGAAAGGGATCTCTGGAGATTCAGATGTCAGGTGTCTGAGATCCAGAAAAACTGGAGCCACTTTGGACAGTGAACCTAAGCCAAGAGTGACTCGGGGTGCCAAGAAAGATACAAAAGTTCCAAAGAAGGTAAGGCCCTCTTGTTTTACGTTCTACAAGACTGGGACAATATTTATGCCTAGGTTACGAAGGCAAATCAGAACACACCAGCAGCTCCTAGTTATGCTAGTGGGAGAAGCCAACATCCAAACCACCTACTTTCTGTGTGTCTTGGTAATTCCACTTTGAAGAGTGAATTCACCTTATTGAAGGTTTCATTCCAGAAGAGCTATGCATTCATCTAATGTCACTTTCTGATGCTTGTGATACTGCTTGTCATGGTTATGGATGACATCTTCAGCCTCTCGAAGTCAGCAACACTTAACTAAAACAAAGATGTCCTGGACTTCAAAAGACTTCCTTTAAAATAGCTGAATAGGGGCTGCTGAATTGGCTTAACAGATAAGAGTACTAACTTCTCTTTCAGAGGAGCTAGATATGATTCTCAGGACTCACAACCATTTGTAATTGTAGATCCAGGGGATCTGATCTCCTTGAGCATCAAGCAATACATACAATACATGAAGGCAAAACACATATAAAATGAGTAAGTTTGATTTAAAAAGAAATAAAACAGCAGAATAAACCCAGGATTGGCTATCTCCTACGCAAATAGAAGTAGGTAAATTTTACTCAGTAGGAAGTGTGTCATTTCACCACACAGAATTTAAGCTAATAGACTGTAAGTACTAATGTATTGTCACTGATGTGCATTGACCCCAATGGCATGTTTACAATAAGTAGTATTCTAAGAAAAGTTAAAGATAGGGTGAGCAGTTACCTTTGTGGGAGTGATATGTAATTGCTCTCAATACTCAATTTGAACCTGAACATAATGTATTTTGAGACAACTGATGTGATAATAGTAGCAACAATCACTGAGGCAGAGTTGTGGCCAAGTTGGCCAGTTCTAACCACTTTTGGAATAAACCAAGCAGCAGGACTAACAACACAAGGAGACTAGAGTTTCCAGATGCCACAACACATTTTACATAGCTGGAGAGAGAGCAAGAAGGCATGAAAGTCTAATGAGAATGTGAAGATAGAATGCTCTAGAGCAGTGGTTCTTAACCTCCCTAATGTTGCCATCCTTTAATGCAGTTCCTCACGTTGTTGTGACCCCCAACCATATTTTGTTGCTACTTCATGACTAATTTTGCTACTGTTATGATTCATAATGTAAATATTTGATATGTAGGATATCTAGTATGCCACCCCTATGAAAGGGCTATTCAACTCTCAAGGGGCTCGTGGCCCACAGGTTGAGAATCACTGCTCTAGAAGAATGAAGAGAAGCTCAAGAAAGTGGCGATGGGCTGCCTGGAAGGAGAAACTGTCTCATTGTGGTTAGCCTTCATTATAGATACCAAAAGGACTAGGAACTCAGCCTCATACAGTTAACAGTGCTTCTCATATTTCCACTTTAAATAAGAATGCTAAACACAGATTCATAGTTTTGAAAGTAGTGTTTTCTCAGAATGAAATGGAAGGAGTAAAACCCACCCACTCTTTTTTACTTGAATGAGCCTGAACTCAACAACTGCCAAGCTCTGAGGGTGATCAGGTCAGGTCATCATGTCATAGGGACTCAGGCTTCCTCTCCCCACCCACAGGCACCCAGGGGACTCCACACACTGATAAGTTTTTTCCAGGGCTGCACTCTTTGCTGTCTGCCAGCCATGTGCTTCTGTATGTCCATAGATGCAGAAACAGCATATGTGGTGTATATGTATTTTCCAGGGGCCATGCTGCCAGAGTGCTAGAGGAGCAAGCCTTTCATCTGATGTGTGTGCCTTTCTATCATCAGTCAACCCATGTTAGTAGCTACCTGTTACTGCCTTCTAGAACTCAACAGCATTCACATACCAAGATTTACCTATCTACAGTGAGCCTCATACTTTTAGAGTTTCTGTTTTCTGACTCTCCTCTCCTTTTCTTACTGTTCATGATCACCCATAAAACTGCTTCTAAAGTATGTCCATCATCACCCTTGGCTTTTCCTGATTTGTGTTGGGTGGGCCCTGTGTTTATCGGTACCAGAACTTCTGGTTATTTGTTCTGAGAGGCTATTGTCATCTTTTGCTTTCTGTAGATTGATCCCCATCAGGTAGATCTCCCCACTGCCTTAGAAGACTCACTATGCTCTTGCAGCCACACAGGAGAACTCAGAACACAATGACCATCCTCTATCTGTGGGAAGTTATCTTTAGGACACTTAAGCTCTCATCTAGGCCACCTTCAGATTCATGTTTTCTGAATAATGCTTTCTAACTAGTGAACCGTAATGTATGTTAGAAACTTGTGAAGGAGCAGAATCTATGTTAAAAAAGTAAGAAAATGTTTCAGGGGAGACAGTTTTAAGGTAAGTACTGCAAAACTGATCTCCAACTTTAAAATTAGTTTTTTACAGTGTGTGTGTGTGTGTGTGTATGTGTGTGTGTGTGTGTGTGTATGTGTGTGTGTGGTGTTTTGCCTATATGTATGTGTAATAGGTCAACCGTGGTCAGTCAGAACAGTGCATCTAATCCCCTGGATGGTTGTGAGCCACCATGTGAGTGCTGGGAATTGAACTCAGGTCCTCTGCAAGAGGAGAAAGAGCCTGTAGCCACTTAGCCATTTCTCCATCCCCTCAAAGTTAATTTTTAGACTGAACATCTAAATGACACCTAATAAGGATAGTGGGTTTGTAGGGTTGAGCTGGTTACAAAAATTGTTTCTTCACATTATTATTTTTCTTCCCAAACAGGATGAAGACATTGTATACACCACGAAACTAAGGACAAGAAGTCACCAGAATAGTAAAAATGTGTAGCAAAGACATTTAAGAAGGAAATATTAAGTTAGCTTAGTGATAAATTCCAGTGTGGTTTTTCTCCTCCTATGTAAAAGTAAACTGTAAATAATACTGCCTATGTTTAAGGAAGGGAGCTTTGAGCTCTTGTGGTTATTCTCTCTTCAAACTCCAATGGAGATCATGAAGGGGGTCACCAGGGATCTCAGAGCAATAACAATTTAAAAGTTTGGGGGTGGGCAGGCAGAAGTGTGGCCTTCTGTCCTGCACAATAAAGTTCTGAAGTTCACTGCCTCCTGTGATCTCTCTGTGCAACTGTAGCATCATACCATTGCCTGTGTCCTCTGTTAATGGCAAAGGCAGGAAGAATTACCCTGTGTCCCTCCACTGACCGGGTTCTCAGTAGACATTAGTTGTGTCATTAGATCCGTATTTCTTACACAGGATGACTGTACAATGGAACATTTGGTTTGTAGACCGATCATAGGTCATTTGAGTCAGCCTGATCCTATGAGTCTTTGACCTTTAATAGAAACAGCTGTGACAACAAGGATGTCTGGTGAGCCCACCTTCAGGGACATAGGTTGTTCTGTTAAGAGAGTTCTTGGTACCTGTGCTTTTCTTGTTTTTAGTTTTTTATTTATTTACTTTAATATCATTTGCATTGTTATTTTGCCTGCATGTATATCTGTGTGAGGGTGTCAGATTTTGGAGCTAGAGACAGTTGTTAGCTGCCATGTGGGTGCTGGAAGAGCAGTCATGGCTCTTAACAGCTGGGCCATCTCCAGCCTTCCTGTGCTTTTCATTAGGCATCTATACTGAACAAGTTGGCTGCCTTGCCTATGGAATTATTGCCGTTGGATAGTATGCTACTCTAGTTTCCTATCCTAGCTTCTGTTTTTATCATGTGCTTTTTCTGACCTCTTGCCTGGCAGCATGAGGCTTGTACCCACAGCCACCCTGGCATTTGGTATGATATGAGTATCTCCCAAATCTCACTTTAACCCTAGACTCCATTTCAGACCATAGTCATAACTTGAATATCTCCACTGTGCATGTTGCATATCCAACTTTTGTACTTTCCACCCTGTCCCCCAGTCCCCTTTCTGTGTTTTCTAGCAGTAGCACATCATTGTTCCAGGTATTTCTACCCAGTGCTGTTCATTGGGCCTCCCGTGTCAGATGGGATAATGGTGCTCACTTCTTTATCCTTGTGTCTGACATGCAGCTGAGTATACAGTTGTGAGATACTAAGTGAAGGCAGGGACTTAGCAATTTGGGTGAGTCTGGGAGTTACTTCTGCCATCTTATCTACCACAGGATTTCTTTGTTCATAAGGAATGGCAACAAGTTATTCCTAAGGGGACAACTGAGGCTTTACAGGACAGGTGACAGTTGAGCTGGCAAAGGGGCCAGTGCAGAGCAGAAGGCAGGGGAAGATCGAGCCCATTTCACCTTGTTAGATAGTGTAAGGCCTGAAAGTGCCCTTAATTGACTTGAATCTTGAAGTCTCGTTCTGATGTATAATTAGAAATGTTTTATGTATGTGGGAAATTTCAGTCAACTGCATGCTAGCTGAACAGAACACAGTGATGAGTGAAAAACCTGTTCAGTTGTAGGAATTCCTGCCTGAGCTATGTCAGCACATTTTCTCACTGAGGTAACTAGTGCTTCTAGAGCTTAAAGGGTTGTCCTTAGGGCTACAGGTCCTGGATTGAAAAGCTCATTCAGGGAGTGGGAGATGGCTTAGTAAAGCGCTGGACGTGCAGGCGATAAGACTGGAGCAGATTAGCAGAACCTATGTAAGAGCTGGGATGTGGGGTCAGCTGGGCTTGCCAGCCAGCCAGCCTAGCCAAAATGGATCCAGTAAGAGACCTTATCTTTTGAAACAGGAAAGACATCCCAAATCAACCTCAGGCCTCCATACCAGACTGCTTGCATGGGTGGATGAATGCGCTTGCTCTCTCCCACGCACACGCACATACACATGTACACACTCACATGTGGCCACCACGTAATAAACTAAAAAGCTCATTCCAGGGTGATACCGGTGCTAAAGACACATTTATAGAACACATCTTCCATTTGTCCTTGCTGGGAGCATCTGAGAAATACCTGTCTTCTTGGCTAATTGTGTAGTTGAGAACAAATACCCACCCATTCCTTAAGCGTTTAGCTACAATCTAGCAATGTCAGTTTCCCCCCAGAAACCATGATGGGAAATTCCCAAGAAAGATACACTATTTGTTTGCCTCTTGGAGCCTGTATAACTCTTCCTGTTTTGCTGTCATTTGCTCCTGCTTCCCACAACCTGCCTGGAAGGTGGTGCACCCCTGCACTTTCGTCACTACCATTCCTTGGAATGCTAATCTTAGCGCCAGAGAAATTTCCAGGCCTCTCCACTCCAGCCACTGTCCAAGGCAGGTCCTTGGTTGGCAGCAAAAGCCAGGCACCTAGTGAGAATCAGCATCTCAAATACAATTTTCAGCCCCTTAACTACAACTGATTAGTTTAATAGTGTGTAATCCTGGCTTGCAGCTCATTGCAGTGTGACTTAGAGCAAGCCTTTCTCATTTTGACAGACAGTTTTCTAGTCTATAGAATGATGTTCTCAAGTGTTCCAGCTCAAGGCAGTCAGGAGGATTAACTGAATAGATGACTACTTGTAGCTCCTGTAGCCTTTGGCCAGCGCCCGGAGTCAAGCTAATTAAGATCATTTCCAGAGGACCTATACCTCCAAGCTTTCTGCTGAGGTTTCCCCCTGGAGAAGTAGGAAGATTTGGAACACTGAAGTCTCAGCACTAGGCTCCAGACAATGTACCAAACAGGTAAAGTCTAGGCCTGGAATAATAGAATCAGTGATTCTGATCTCTTAATCACAGCCAATTCCTCGGCCCTGCCCAGCCAGCATCAGTTGTCCCAGTAAGGGTTTCTTTCACTGCCGTGGTGCTAGACTGTTGTCAGTCATAGCTTATTCTTAAGTCCCAGCTGACCAGAGCCCACATAGTCTAAATTCAAAATATCCAAACATCCCTGATAGTTTTTGCTTCCCTCCAAAACTTTGAAAGCCCGGCCTCCATTGTCCACACCTTTCAGCATTATCGTCTAAATTCCCACAGAAGAGCTCACATTGAACTCTGAGCACTCAATGGTTTTTCCAGCCCCAAAATCCAAATGCTTCCACAATCCTCCCCTAATCAACATGGTTAGGTCTGTCACAGCCAGTGTGTTCCAGCTGCCCATTGCTGTATTAGTTACTTTTCCATTACTGTGTACCTGTACATGTATTGTGTACTCATGCACCTGTATACACACACACTTAAAAATAAGACTAAATTGTCTTTGTATGCCAAATGCATGTCTTTGGTGCTGGGGTTCTAACCTGGGGGCCTCACACATGCTAAGTAAGTACTTGACCACAGAGCTACACTCCCAGCCCCCAATGCATGTCTTATCTAAAAGGACTTGGACTTCAGGCAGGAGAACTAAGTTCAGAAGTGTGAAGACAGCACTACAGGTACAGCTTGGTTTTCAGAGGTTTATTCTTGCATCAGGGTGTTCTCGATCTTGCGGTTTGCATGTCCCAAAATTCAGTGATATTCACTGGTGTTAATCAGGGCAAGATCAAATGGTAAATGTAATCAAAGAAAATAGAGTTGGAACCATGATGCATGATGCATACATACATGAAGATTGCACATAAATTAAACATGTCTTGGTTACAAACAAATATATATATCAGTAAATATACATGGAAAAAACCCAACAACATGGCCATGTCTCCAAATTCCGAAACACAGGTATCAGGCTCATTTTTAAAAAGTTTTTAAAAACACATTAAAAAATACCTTGGAAAACACAGGTGTGCATTCCTCGTTCATCTAGCACATGGAGAGAGTAAAGCAAGTCACACAGTGACCAAGGAACGCACCTGATCAGAACACTCAGCTCTGATTGCTATTTGGCATTTGAACACAGCTGCATGCAACACAGAAATGAGAAGGTTGTTGTAGGTGCCAGGCTGTTCACTGGTGTATACTAGACCTTTGACTGAAGGAAGAAGAGAAGGATATGCCAGATAATTCAGAAGACGCTGAGACCCCATGTAGGATGCCCCTTGCAAACTGAGTCTCTGTGTCTTAGGGAAGCTGAATTTGGTTGTGGCATTAGCCAAGAGACTGGAGGGGTTGGCCCCTTCAAAGAAAGATAAATGCTACCCCAAATGTGTCACAGGAGGGTGGCTTCTATTTCTGGAATGAGACAAGCTGTTTAGAAACAACTGGGGCTCCTATGAGGGAGCCTGGGGCAGCCCCGAGATGAGAAAAAACACACAAATAGAATATTTTTTCTAGACATCCTGAAAAGGTCTACCCTAAAGGCATTTCTTGATACAAGAGATGCCTGGGATTCTGAGCAACTAAGTTGGGGTGCCAAGGCGCATGGCTGAACTTTGGCATGGGACCAGTGTGATGTCACCTTCATTCCAGTGGGCTTGGGGTGCAGAGTGGAAGCCCTTTGTCCTGCTTAAGTCAAAGAAAGGCATTGGGCTTGAGGTTTAACATGAAACAAATGAAACCACTGGCTAGGGAAAGTTCACTCTTCCATCGTCTTCCTGTGTTCCACTACTGCACAGCGAGGAGAGTCCTCAGCGCAGAGAGCCAACCTTGGGTGCAGCCGGTGGTAATGACAGAAGCCACTGTCTGCTTTCACCCTGCATGCTGGGCACCAGTTCATGCCTTTGGATTGAACTCAGTGCTCTTGGGTGTGAGAGAAGCTTGGTGACTTGTTCACCTGTAGGAGGCAACGACCGACCCTGGGGTTGTCCCCTTACACACTATAAACAAACAAGGATAAACAGTGCAAATAGGCAGGTATGATCAGTCCTCCATGGAGATGGCAAATGAGGCCTTTATATTTTCATATCTCTTTTAAAAATTAGCCAAACTGCATATGTTCAAAGCCTTCAGTGAGTTAGACCAGATGTCTTTTTTTTTTTTTTTAACATTGTGCTCATTTGCTAGGTACCTAAATGCTGTAGGAAGATCATATTGAAATCACCGTTTCTACATTCACCCTGCGCCCCCGCCCCCATCCTTCCCCTAACCTACTCTTCTCTGACAGTGTGACCATCACTGTCACCTGGGTTCAGAGGCCTCAGCAGCATTTTCACCCAAAGGTAAGTTACACTTCAACTTTTTCTCTCTCTCTTTCTCTCATTTTTTAAAAAATTAAACACCAAGGAGGGGGATGTTTAAAAAACTGTACAAATCTAGATTTTAAGATTTCTTATAAACCATCCTAACTTTTTACAAAGAAAATCCTGGCATACCAAATGCCTGCCAGGAGGTTTACAGTGCAATTGCTTGTGGTCATCCTGCTGTTTCTATCCCGCGTGTGTGTGTGTGTGTGTGTGTGTGTGTGTGTGTGTGTGTGTGTGTGTAAGATTTCATTTCAATGAGGAAGGCAAGGAAATAGTTTTGAATTGAGACTGTAGATTGTTGGCATAGGCAGCTGGGCCAGTAGGTGGGGGCATTGGAAAAGAAATTGGTTGGATTCTGAGCTAGGCACATAGGCAGATGGACAACAAGTCGTTCACCAGGAACACAGCTCTGATGGTTAGTGTGAGGATGCTGGAAGCCTGTAAGAATAGATGACCTGGGACCAGTACCTCTTCTCATCAACTCTACAGTGGTAGAGACAGCTTTTCATTAAGTAAACACCTTTAAAAATTCACTGGAAAGTCCTGCTTTAGCCTCCCAGGTGCAAGAAACACAGGTATGCACTGCCATGCCTGGCTCCTTCTTTGATCTTTTAAATGTAAAAATGAACTACATGGCTGAGACCTAGGACTTTACCGAAGCCCCCACATATACTGTTTGCCACACCCTGATGCCCTGGATGGATGCCACAGTTGGTAGGGAGAGTAAATGTTTCCTGATTGTGAGTCCCCTCAACTGTTTTCTCCATAAGGGGCTTCATGTTTAGTGTCTTTCACAAACACATTTGACATATTAAGAACTACAATTACAGATGCATGACATGTGACATCACATGATGTGAATCTAACAGAATTAAGATATTGACTGATATTAGCAGAAATATAGATCTTCCCAGATAGTATTGGACCTTAACATATTATTCCAATTTTTAAAAAGGGCATTTAAGACTTAATACCCTTTGGGCAGGTAAGCTTTAGAACATAACAAAATATATACAAAGAAATTAGGAAGGATATTAATGTCCACTAGGAAATAAATTAACATTTTTTTACAAAATATACTGACCATTAAATTAAAAACTATTTTAAGGCAGGAATCTTCATTTGAAATTAGCATAATCAGAAAATATATCGATAAAATCTTGTACCACTTTGTAGCAGAATTCATATTGCTCCTGAAAAGAGAACAAAAGTATATTAATAAGCTGCTTCACACATCCTTGATGCCTTTAATCAGAAGATGTCAGTCAGTCTGTTGATACACCAAAGTCTGTGGTTCCTTCCCACACATCAGCTTCTGTTATGTAATGTAGCTTTTAAGCACAAGACATGTTTTAAACCAAGCTGTTTTTCTATGTGGATGACCATAAGCAATTGCCCTGTAAACCTCCTGTCAGGCATTTGATATGTCAGGATTTTCTTTGTAAAAAGTTAGGATGATTTATTACTATATTTTAAGAAAGGTCTTAGGAAAACATCTCTACTTTTCATATTGACATTGAAAAATATTTTGTGTATATGTGTGCACATCTCTGTGTGTATTTGTGTGTGTGCAGGTACACATGTGTTTGCTCGCATGTGGAGACCAGATTAACCTCGGGTGTCTTTCCTTCCTCAGGTACTGTCCACCTGGGTTTTGAGACAGGGTCTCTCATTGGCTTAGAAACTGCCAAGTAGGTTAGGCTTGCTGCCTGTGAACCCCAGGAAGCCTGCCTCTACCTCCCAGCTGTGGGATTACAAGTATATGCCATCATGCCCATCTTTTTTTTTTTTTTTTTTTAAACTTACTGTGGGTTTTGGGGAATGAAACTCAGGTCCTTATGCTTTCAAGACAAGTGCTTTATCCTATCCCCAAGGCCAGGAAACAAGTGTGTGTGTGTGTGTGTGTGTGTGTGTGTGTGTGTGTGTGTGTGTTTACTTAATACATGTTTGTTGTTTTGAGACAGAGTTTCATGTTGCTCAGTCTAGCCTGAACTCACACTGTGACCGAGAATGACCCTAAACTTTAATCTTCCTGCTTCCACATCCCAGTATTGGGATTATAGGTATATGCCACCATAGCTGGATGAAAACTATTTCTGAGGTGGGAAAAACAAACAAACAAACAAACAAACACAATTTTAACATTGAAAAATAAAGTTCACAGTGCCTAATTTATAACTGGTAAGTAAATGAAAAATCACATGGTTTTTATATTACTATACATTTCATGCGAATTTGCAAGACTAGATGTCTTGGGTTCACGGGGGGCCTTTCTGTTATCACCGCCACAGCAACTATCTTTGCACTGGAGTCAGGCTGCCTGTCAAGAGTGGTCAGCGTGGAGAATGAGGGGAGGGAGAGAAGGCCTAATGAGGGGGCTTTGGGAAATGATGAATGGAGAACAGCCTTTAAACCTGCACTTGCTCCTTCAGCAGGAAGCATGTCTGAATTCAATGCAGAGTCTCTTCCTCTACCCAGGAAGTGTGCACTGGGTAATGAAAGAGAATATGCAGAGCAATTGGATGTTAGGAGCCCCCCCTCCCAGGCAAGACCCTCAGAGGGGCCTTGAGGTTGAGTGAGACCTTCCAAAGGCAAACCTACTAAATGCAACAGTGGAACCCAGAAAATAACAAGCAGCAGGGCTTTGAACTTCAGGGCTGCTTTTGAACTCTGTAACAGTGTTTTTAAATGAAAAAAAAAAAATTGTGCATGAGCTCCTCCTCTTGAGTCTTGCTGGGAAAACTTCCCCCTAAGACCCATGGTTGGTGGGGGGAGGGTGTGTGTGTGTGTGTGTGTGTGTGTGTGTTACTGTGAAAGGCTGCAGTTTGCAGTTGGGTCAGGCACTCTGGGAAATGAACCCTCCTTCCCCTCCCTTACAGCGGATGCTCCTTTAATGAAACCGACATCAAATACATGAAACAATTCTCAACTCTTCTGGAACATCAGATCGTTCAGATTCTTACCAGGGTTTGCACCATGTGTGGTCTCTGAAGTCTTAAGCTCTTCACAGCTTGAAACACATCTAGGAGTCCCTCGGCTTTCACTCGTTCCAAAATGTTGCTGAGTGCTATGAATGTACCTGTCCGCCCTGCTCCAGCACTGTGGAGGGAAGGTGCATAGTGAAGTCAAAGCAAAAGAGTATGAATGGGGAAGAAACGTGGCATGCATTTACCACCACCCCACCCCACCTCCTAGTGCCAGGGCAGAGTATCAGTCACTGAAAGGCACCAACATCTGACTGCATCTTTGTGTTTGATGCTGTATGTGTTCATATGTATGTAAGTGTGTGTGTGTGTGTGTGTGTGTGTGTGTGTGTGTGTGTGTGTGTACATGCAGAGGTCTATGCTGTCTTATTCTATAGCTTTCCACCTTCTTTTTAGACAGGCTCTTTCACTAAACCTAGAGCTCACTGTCTTGTCTAGGCTGGCTGGTCACCAGGCCCCCAGGCATTGGTTTATCTGTGCCTCACTAGCACTGAAGATCACAGATGTGCACCACTTCACAAGGCTTTTTATGTGGCTAAAGGCTCATGCAGCAAAACACTATATTGACTGAGCCATTGCCCAAGCCCCTTGACTGCAGCTTAAAGGATGGCTTATATACATAATACAGCAAGATCCAGCAAACAGTGCCCCACTTCCTTCCCTAAGCATTGTAGTCAGGCAGCACCTGAAATGGATGGGTACAACTTGGAGGCTTTTAATTGGTGCTTACAAAAAATATGGTCCCCTGACTGTCAGCTCAGCATTGCCTAGGATGAAGTAGAAATACAAACTTTTTTTTTTTTTTAAATTTTAGGTACAAGTGCCAAGGCCTGGATTCTGGAGCATTGACACCTAAAGGTGATGTTTCAGGGATGGCATGATAGGAAGCTCTCTGCTAGAAATCGTGGGTTCCCCCAGAAGATGGTGCTTGGTCTGGGAGAGGCTAAAGGAGGCACCAGGCCAACCTCTTCTAGTGCCCTCGGGAGGGGCATGGCTGTCCTGGGCCTTTTAGAATCTTCCACAAGTGTGGGCCTACTCTGATGTTCAAGTCCTGCTGCCACTTGCCATCTCAGGCTTGAAGAACTTATCTCCAGCACTGCAGAGCAAAGAGACTCATTTCTAGCTCCTCAGGGAGCTTCTGGAAAGGCTCCTGGGACTGAAAACTGAGGTGTGAGCGCCACTTGCTGGCCAGGCATGGAGTACACTAGGTGGGTTATCCACACAGGAAGAGTAGCCATCTCTCTCATTAAACAGGGCCTCTTTGGACATCAAGGGTAATGAATGGAAATAAAGGGTCCCCTTAAAGTGTGAGTCAAATCTTCAGAAAATGAAACAACCACAGCTCCAACAGCTAGTGAGAATCACCCCAAAATAAAAGCTTCCTAAACAGTTTCTTGCCAGGGCTGTACAGGTATGGTCAAGATCACTGCAGTAGGTGGCACAATGCTGGCAGGAGCTGCCCAGCCAGGGATGCAGGGGAGCTACGGATCTGTCATACATTCACTCCTTCTCCATTGGTTGTGGCCATAGGCCTGGCGATTTGCTGTCTCTAGGGACATCAGGAATGTGTCTCTGTCGTTGAGCTTAACTATGCCTATGTGAGTATTGGAACAGGTTTGCTTTAGAGATTCAATACTGGGGTCTGGGGAGATGATTCAGTCAGAAAAGTACTTGCTATGCAAGCATGAGACCTTGAGTTCAATCACCACATACTTCAGAAAAAAGCATGGCATGCCCTGGGGCTCCCTGGCTAACCAACATAGCTTAATCAGCAAATACAAAACCAACTGAAGGTGGTTCACACCTGAGGAGGGGCACCTGGGCTTAACCTCTGACTTTTCATGGGTTACATTTAATGTAACCTCGTGATTTTACACACACCACAGATACCAGGGTGGATCTGTTCATGATGTCTTCATATTCCATCCTGTGCTTTCAGTCATCTGCACTGAATGTTTTCCAAGGCAGGAAAGAAGGTGGACAATGGGGGTGGGGCAGCTAGAGCCAGAGCTGCGTGTCAGAGTTAATACAGGCTAGCTGAAGTCCAGAAGGGTACCTGAGGGCTTTTCCTGGGAAGTTTGTGTGACTTCAACAGGACAGAGTACCCTGTGCGCATTCTGACTCCTCCCAGGATGTGTGTTCTGCCTGTGTAATGAAGTGGCTTATGTGCACATCTGTGAAGGGAGTGTGTGTGTGTGTGTGTGTGTGTGTGTGTGTGTGTGTGTGTAAGGGAAGGTGACTCATAGTCTCGGGAAACAATCCCCTGAGAGAAGCTATCCAGCTCCCCCTAGCTGCAGAGTAGGTCTCTAGAAACGTATGGACCACTTTAGCTATCGAGCCAGGGCAGGGCGCCCGTGGGGGAGGGGCTGCTCACCTGCAGTGCACAGTGATGGGGTGGTTTCCTGTCTGCTGCTGCTGCTTCTGCACTGCTGCGATGAGGTCGATCATGCCTTTGCCCTCAGCTGGGATTCCAATCTCAGGCCAGCCATGGAAATGGAATTGTCTCACCATTCGGACTTGCTCTTCCTGGCGGGCCAGGGGCTACAGATACGAGAGAAGTCTCAGTGAAAACTGCCCCACATCCTGCCAGTGAGCTGCCTGACTGCCCATGAGTCCCTCTGGGTCTCAAAGCCCCCACCTAGGCAGTCCAGGGGCCTGTCTAGCAGGGACTGTTTCCTTCTAGACCCCCACTAGGCTCAGCCCAGCCCTTTCAGGGGCCTTGGTGGTTTCATTCAAAGATTAGGCTCACATTTCTTGGGAAGTTAAGTTCTGAGTTCCCATCAAGAGCTGGAGGCAAGCCCAGCGGCTCAGGCAGTCCACCACCCGAGGGAACAAGTATTTGCACAAGTCTAGCTTTCCTGAACTGATTCTCTCAGTTCAGAATTGAGTTCAGCTTGCGAGCTCTTCTACCTCTCACTGAGCCAGACCGCCTACACTTTGTGTGGTCAGGGTTCAAGGTCCAGTGTGGACAGGGACAGTGAGAGGTTCCGGAAGGGGGGCCTAGGAGGTCTCTCTACCATCCTTCAGGTCCATCCCCAGCTAAGGTCACTGTCTCCAGAAACACTGGGAGATAGCAAGGCCCAGTGTTTCTTTGTCATCACACATCCTCCAGCAGGAGGCAAGTGGCCACAGAAACGACAGTTTCATAGAACCCCTACTACTGGATGCTCTCCTGGTCCCGTGTGGTTCCCTGGGACTTAGACACAGGTAGATGATACAGCAGTAAGCACATACCGAGTGATGGTGTTTCCTAAGGTCTACTAGAATTTAGGGTTCACAGCCATAATACCTGTTTAAAAGTAACCAGGAAGTCTCGTATGCTGATGGCTTCAGACAGAGTGTCACTCTTTATTTCTATAGTTATATCTCCATGAGTCACCGAGCCCTCTGTTGGCCAATACTGGTAGCATTTATCCTAGGGGGACAAAATAAAATGTTTTGTTGTTACCACTTAAAGTGCAGAATTGAAGTTGGGTCATTTCATGTGATCAGAAAATCTGAACATGGATCTAAATTCCATTAGTGCCTTGTTGACCATGAGCAGAGAACAGGTCTGGAAAGACACTAACATATGGTACTTTGATATGTGAGAGAACAGAGGATTTATTCAGTGGGTGGAATGTTGTGAAATATTTGTTTACACTGAGTGAAGATGTGTCACTGTGATTGGTTTAATAAGGAGCTGAATGGTCAATAGCTAGGCAGGTGAGAATAGGCGGGACTTCAGTGCAGAAGGAGGAACTCGGAATGAATCTGGGTACCTGAGAGACACTACAGAGATACGGAATTAGTTGGACATATGGTACACATAAGAGGTAAGTGAGCTATCTGACAGAATGTAGATTAATAGAAACAGGTTAATTTAAGTGATAAGAACTAGTTGTGAAAATGCCTAAACTAAGGCCAAGTTTTCATAATGAATAATAAGTCTCTGTGTCGTTCCTGGGGAGCTGGCAGTCCCAAAGGAAGTCTGACTACAGTGAAACTGGAAGATTAAATCCCTGACTCACTGTGCAAGGTTGACATGAACGACGCAGCTTCTCCTAGAGTCAGGCCAGTAAGCAAACAACACTATCCTATATTTTGATCTTGACCCTGGATATTCTTTTACTTGAAGAACACTTTTTGTGTCTTACTAAACAAGAAGGCATAAAATACTGAGCCATCCCTGAGGCAGAAAAAGAAATATCAGCTTCCAATGAAGTTCACGTTTTTTCCATCAACAACCATCATCTAAAGAGTAAAGAGGAGGCTGCTGTCTGCAGCAAGATGCTTACCACATGAAACCAGCACAGGATGAACCCCTGCCCTATGGAAAGAACTCCTAAAGCAATAAGAAAGGAAACAGCCCAGTAGAAAAACAGGTGCTCCGATGCCAGATGGTTAATCTTAATTGACACCTTGATGGGGTTTAGAATCACCTTGGAGACAGACCTAGCTTCTTGGGAAGCTGTTTCAAAACACACTTTGACTGCAGGTAGTGTCACTCCATGGACTGGAGTCCTGGGATGAATGAACAGGGGGAAATGGGTGGATCACACGGGCCCATCTGTCTGCTTCCTGACTACAGATGCAATGTGACCAGGAGCCTTGTGCTCCGGCTGCCATGATGGATTTTCTTTCAATTCATGAGCCAGAATAAATCCTTCCATCAGCTGTTTTTTTTTTTTTCCCAGCAATGAGAAAATAGCAATAGAGGTTTAAAAAGCAAGGGAAAGCATTTGATACAAGAAAGAAGACATGCATAGATATGTAAGGTGATGTTCTACCTTGTAGGAATGAGATAAATGCCAATAAAAGCCACAGAAAGCTAAATTAGTATTCAGTTAGCAAGGATCAGGATGCCTGAGAACTCCAGGCACTCTGAGAACACTGGGCATGCCAATGAATATGTCTTATTCATCGCCAATACTCCCTTGAAAAACCACTTTGGACAGCAACCAGGAATTCTCACTCTTGGACAATTTGCAATCTGACATTTTGTCTACCTGGCACCTGCTAACCACTGGCAGCAAGAAGCATGTCATCACTGTTTATCAAGCATCAGGATGGAATTGGGCCCACTGTCAAGGAATGTAAAAAGGGCTAAAGAAGTGGATGCAGGATGTGTGATCTTTGTAGCAGAATACAAGGAAACAGTGGCTGTTTCACAGTCAAATACATAAGCATAGAAAAACAGCCAAGTCACTATTCTATCTAGAAAAATCAAGTTACCAGGCGTTGGCGGCGCATGCCTTTAATCCCAGCACTTGGGAGGCAGAGGCAGGCAGATCTCTGTGAGTTCGAGGCCAGCCTGGACTCCAGAGCGAGTGCCAGGACAACCTCCAAAGCTACACAGAGAAATCCTGTCTCAAGAAAAACAAAACAAAACAAAAAAACCAACAACAACAACAAAAAACAAAAATCAAGTCTCAGAAGATTACACACAATGGAATTCTTTATAGAAAGTTGCAACAGAAGTAGGATAAAGTAACTGTTTCTTTAGGTATGAATACGTTTGATGTAAAAGTGCCCCCTGGAGGGCCTTATTGTCTGTCCTTGAATTTACCTTGTTGCAGAGGGTTAAGAGAAATTCTCTAATCCTTCTGCTGCCACTTCCCAAGTACTGGGATTATACATATTGCTACCAGTCCAGCTGGTGTAATGACTGCCTAACAAATAATGTATCTACTAGGATAGCTTTAATCAAGAGGACAAAACACCAGTGACATCAAGAATGTGGACAAACAGCCCCTGAACACTGGGATTGGGAATGTAAATGGGGCTGGAGCAGAGGCTAAGAGCAGGCACTGGTTTTTTTTTGTTTTTGTTTTTTGTTTTTTTTTCCCCAGAGGACCAGAAAGTTCTAAACACCCATGTCAGGCAACTCACCTTTGCCTCTAACTCCAGCTCTAGGGGCTCTGACTCCTCTTCTGGTCTATTTGTGCACCCGTATTCATATGCACCCCCCCAGCATATAATTTTAAAAACTTGATCCAAGTTTATGATCTGGAGTTACTGTATGAGGAAGTGATTTCACTCCTAGGTATGTAGGTGCGAAACACAAAAGTTCTTCCTGCACAAAAGACGGGAGCACAAACACCCACAGCAGCAGTAAGCCAACAGCCCCAAAGTGGAAACAGGACACGTACCCATCAGCTGCAAACGGGGAAATGCAAGCTGTATACCATTCACTTGACGGAATACTGCCAATAAGGAAGACGTGTCTGTACTGAGTGCTCAGCCTTACATGGGACATCTGTATCGACCCTGCCCCCATCCGGACCCAACCGAGGCTCAGGGAAGGAACATCACAGAAGCAGGGGCAGAAAGAATTTAAGAGCCAGAAATGGGAGGAGCGCATGAAATTCTGCCTCTGGATCCAGAATGGCCATTCCTTTCATAAATTCACTGCATCTATAGTTACTGGCTCGAGACCCACCCAAGAACAAGCTAACAAAAGCAGTTCACATTCCAACAGGCAGCATTAATTGGGACTCGGTGGATTAGCAAGAAAAAGGAAAGGAGAGGAGAGGGGGCCATGCTGGGGGTACCTGAGGGAAGAGGGAAGGGGGATTGAGGAGATATGATCATGATACATTGTTTATGTATGTTAAATGGTTAAAGGATGAAGTCCAGATTCATGCTACACTGGATGAGCCTTGATGACATGATGGCATATAAGGACCCACTCCTGAAACAGCACACCCTGTGTGACTGCATTTATAGAAGGGTCTAGAAGAGCCAGTCAGTAGAGTCAGGGAACTGGCCAGTGGTTGTCTGGGGCTGGGTGGGGGTATGGAGGTGACTTCATGGAACAGTTTCTTTGTCAGATGGTGAACATGCTTTGGAGTTAGACAGAAGATATGTTTGCCCAACATATGAACACATTAAACCCTAACAAGATGGATTGCTTTCTGGGTGAAGCATGGCTCAATAAAGTTTTTGTTGTTTGTTTTTTTACATTTTAAAGATTTATTTATTTTATGTATTTGGTGCTCTATCTGCATATACACCTGTATGCCAGAAGAGGGCATCAGATCCCATTGTAGATGGCTGTGAGCCACCACATGATTGCTGGGAACTGAATTCTGGATATCTGGAAGAGCTGCCAATGCTCTTAACCAATGAGCCATCTCTCCAGCCCGTGTTTTGTTTTTTAAAGCAAAGAAATCAAAATAGAGATTCAGGGTTGTGGCTATGTTTTGTGGTGGCACTTAGAGAGACAATTGGTACTAGTAAAGCATATTTTTCTGGGTTTGTGACATTATCAGGCCATAGGTGGATCTCTGGGAAAATGGAAATGCTGAAGTCATCTAACTTCATTAGGACTACAACCAGGGGCATAGATCAATGTCTGCCTTTATGTCTTGCAAACAGTAAGTAAATGCCTTTTGCATTCACAGCCTGTGACCTTGACATTAAAAAAAAAACAAAAAAACAGTGCAAATCAAGGCAAGTGTAAAGATATGTAAAGCCAAGGCTATTTACAGCTAACCACCCTTCTATCCATCAAAAGCAAAGATGAAGGACATTCCCCATCACCTCAGCCTCCCTCCCTCCCTCCCTCCCTCCCACCCTCCTCCTCCCTCCTTCCCTCCTCAGCCCTCTCACACATGTGTTCCCAGGGTGCACACTGCTGAGGCACCTCCCTCCCTCCCTCCCACCCTCCTCCTCCCTCCTTCCCTCCTCAGCCCTCTCACACATGTGTTCCCAGGGTGCACACTGCTGAGGCATTAGACCATCAGCCACGCCCTCACATGCAGCCAGTGCACAGAGGCTGCTCACCTGCTCCCGTTCCTGCACCTCGGTCAGCATGACAATTGTGTGTGATTTCCATTCCCACACCATCCTCCAGAAGTCCTCAACTGTGTGAGCCAGAGGCCCCTGTGTGGCCATGAAGTAGTCCTTCTGCCTGTAGCCCTTGAGGGAAGCAGAGGTTAGGGGTGAGCTACCACCTCCACAGGCCCTGACGACAGCCCTAGGCTGGGTCAGCAACTCCAACATCCGATGGCCTGAACAGAAGGCCTGCTGTCACAGGCACATGCCCCAGCCCACTGATGCACCCCTGAAGGAGGAACTGCCCCTTCATCAGGGTGCTGTACACCTCTTGCCTTCAGTAGCTAAGATTATCTCTAAGGGCTATCAAAGGCTCCAGGTTAACAGGACAGCACTTAGTGGCCTTGATTCTAATGGGCTGTATGTCACAGCTGGATTCTCATCATGGTGATGAGAGGGCCTGGGAGTAGAGCTGGGGGAAGGGGGGAGCGGGCTTCCAGTTTCAACACCTCCATCTGTTTGTTCCCTCAAGTGCAGACAGAAGTGCTAATAGGCTGTTGACTGCAAAGTTCTTTCTTGTCTCTTTCTCTTCCAACTCCACTGTGCATGGAGACCAGCCTCAACTTGTCCCTAGACAGATAATCACTCAGTCTATGTGGGCTCAAGTCACAGACATCACTCAAGAGCCAGAGCAGGTTCTGCACATATAACTGGTGTCACACACATGCAAATGTGGGAAGCTATCCATTAAAGGTCACGTGGAAACAGCCAATTAGTAGCGAGATGAGGCCCCAATTCCAAAGCTCATTATTTGTTGATTCTTGTCTTTTAAAGATTCATTGCCTTTTAATTTTATGTGTATGAGTGTTTGCCTACATGTATGTATGTGTACCATATACATGCCTGATGCCCTCAGAGACCAAAAGAGAGCTTCTGCTGTCTTGAAACTGAAGTTCCAGTGGTTATGAGCCACTACATGGGCATGGCAAACTAAACCCAGGCCCTCTGCAAGGGCATCAAGTGTTCTTAGCTGATAAGCCATCTTTCCCTTTTTTTGAATTTTTGATCTCAGGTAGTACTAGCTGGTCTCAACATTCCCATGTAGCTGAGGCTAGCTTTGATATTCCTGTCTCTAATTCCCAAGTGTTAGGATTACAGGTATGTACTAACACAACTGGGTCACTATTTGTTACTTTAGAAAACCAGTAATTCTGCCAAGAAAATGGTGTGCTGGTGCTTCTTATTGTGTGTAAAGCAATGTTCACACTCCAGGGCACTTGTTCATACCAGAGGGAGTCACATGTTGCACCAAGCACACACATGGCTGCAATACATACATCTATGAAGGATGCGTTGATATAGTCTGTGTATTCTTGCCCTCTTTTCATGGAGAGGATTACCCGGTTGAAGTCATCTGCAAAGAAGGATTTCCTCTGTTAGTGTGGATGCGACCCTGCCTTATAGACTATGATGGTCAAGGTAAACGTCGGCTTGATAAGGTCTAGACTTAGAAGGAGATAGGCCTCTGGGCAAACAGTGGGGGTTACCTTGGTTACATTAATTGATGTGAGGACCCAAAACTGTGGGCAGAGTCATTCTCTGGCCAGGGAATTCTAGACTGTGTGAAATGGAGAAAGCGGGTTCAACAGCAGCATGTCCTCATTGCTCTCAGCTTCCTGACTGTGGAGATCATGTGACCAGCTGCTTCAAACTCCCCACTGCATTGACTTCCCCACCATGATGGACTGTACCCTGGAACTATGAGTCAGAATCAACTCTGCCTTCAGTTGTTTTGTCAGAGCATTTCATCAGGAAAAGAAACTGAGGCACAGACCAAAATTTAAAAAGCCAACTCTCAGGGAAGTTTCCATTATCAAATAGGTTCATAACGTGGTTCAGGAAAGCTCTGAAAACAACCCAATTATCATTTTCACTTTTCAAGAATCAGTGAAATAGGTCCCCCAATAGAAGCATTAAAAAATACTGCATAGGAACAAAGAGGGGGTGACCAGATAGGAGCTGGGGCTGCCAGGGTAAATACCGAGGCTACAGAGAGCCAAGGGATGGAGGCTGGGGGTGGATTTCCTAGAGTCCTGGAACTCTGCTTCTGGAGAAGATATGTGATGAGAGGTTGCTGACCCTTGGCTCCATGGAGGGCACGAAGAAACATTGTTGCCTTCTCTTCAAGTGCTTCCCACATGTCCCCGTAGTTGTGTTTGCCTAGATTTCTTTTCATTTCTCACCCGGGTGCAGGGCATATGTGGGTCCCTGCCTACAACACATGTTTGCCTCAGTCATCCCAATCCTCAATGGCAGGCCAGAGTTAACTCTACCCCAGTTCAGTGCTATGTAGTCCCCAAGGCAAGTTGTTTTTGTTTTTGTTTTTCCTTGAAGGACTTAGCTAATTCACTTTTGGTCTGATTT